TAGAATCTGGAGATATTTCCAACTGGACACAAATCACATCTTTGTAAAGCACTGCTATCTTGAGTAGAATATTAAGACAATGGAGATGACATCTTGATCACTTTGGTCTGAAAACCTCTAATGCTTCACAACCCTTTAAAAAGCAAGGCACGAATCACTTACACAACTTAATGTCTTATGAGATTGTGAATGAATGGCTATAGAAGCGTTTCACAATAATAGAGTGAAATACATCAACAGAAATAACCGCATGAATGATTTACCGCAGACAGTGTTGCTATGAGACACGAGCACAGATCAAAAATGGTACAAACCAATTAGGTTCATTAAAATAAAGCTTCTGCTGGTCATCCATCATGTGCTTTTGGATGTTTCCTTCAGGTCTTATATCCTCACACACTGAGCTTGAGTCTGGGCCTGAGTCTGTGTAGGCAACACCATCATGCCTGAACTTGAATGCTTCACACTACTGCTCTCAATAATATGTGTTACCATTAGATACGACCAGTGTGCCAAATCAAATCTGGATGAACTTTGCAATATATCAGTCTTGCCAATATAATGGATTGCATGCACTTTAAATGAGGAAGCATGTTGTAACTGTGATATTCTGCTCCAATAAGATGTTGAAAAAAACACTGAGTGAAAGCATTTGAAGAACAGTTTCATAGATTTCCCATATGTACCATGAAGAGCCGTTTCATGATGCTAAAAAAACATGTTCTAACATCAGGCCTAGTCTCTCCAAATCTGAATTTTCTGTACAAAAAATATGCATCAAAAACACAAAAGAACTTTTAAAGATTCTTCTTGAACCTCTTTTCCATATAATGACAGTCAACATTGACCACATCTGTCAGGTTTTACACATTTACTTACAAGTGTATAATATGTATATGTGACCCTGGACCGCAAAACCAGTCATAAGCGTCAATTTGAATAAATTAGCTTTGCATTGATGTATGGTTTGCTAGGATAGGACAATATTTGGCCGAGATACAACTATTTGAAAATCTGGAATCTGAGGGTGCAAAAAAAAAAATATAAAAAAATCTAAATATTGAGAAAATCGCCTTTAAAGTTGTCCAAATGAACTTCTTAGCAATGCATATTACTAATCAAAACTTAAGTTTTGATATATTTACGGTAGGAAATTTACTAAATATCTTAATGGAATATTATCTTTACTTAATATCGCATAAGAGAAATAACGATCATTTTGACCCATACAATGTATTTTGTATACATTGTATGTAAAGCTATTGCTACAAATATACCCATGCTACTTATGACCGGTTTTGTGATCCAGGGTCACATATAATACAGTTTTTCACAATTACAATCAGATGCTTTTACATATTAAAGCTGCTGTCAGTCCGCGTGACAGAGCTACACAAATCTCTTTAGACAGAATGCTGAATTGCTTTCAGGCAAAGAGATAGAATCTCTTTTTTATAACTTATACCATAGAATTGTATAAGTTTATTGCTAATGCAATAAACTTATACAACCTGTAAACCTGTACTTTCTTCGCTCTCTATAAAATGAGATTTTGGGTGAACTATTCATTTATCACATGGAAATGTGGGTAACAGCATCTGAATAAACAGACAATGCAAATGTAGCCTTTCCTGCAAGCTAACGAAAACCGGGCCATCTCTGCAGGACAGGGGCAAAAACAGAGGCAAAAACAATACAATTCATATTACACTGTGCATGAGGGACACACATGAACTCACACAGAGGGATCATTTTAGGAAGGATTTGTAAGCCCTGAGAGAGACCAAAAATTGAGTAGAAGCGAGCAAATCTAAGCTCAAGACTTACACCAAGTTTATGAGCGTTTCTGGATCAGTGATGCAACAACTAGCAAGAAGACAACAATACAAAACCCTCTCACGCAATATGTATTAAAAACTCACAAGCTAAGATAGATATTTATAAATGGATGAAAGACGTTTGCCCTGCGGGGAACACAAGATACTTACAAAGGCTTCACACAATTATGATGTTCTCAGCTAATAAATGCTGGAGGGTTTGCTTCCCCTGTTCATCTGCATTTCAAGCCTCCTTCAAATGAAAGTTCGAGTGAAATATAAAGAGGATGGGTCAGTACAGGCCCAGACGCCAAAACAATGTCCAATATTATGTTCAGTTATAGTTCAACATATTTCTAGTTAGACTAGCTGTTCACCTAATACATAACCTGAATAAGCTTAATGACATAATTCCGATTACATGAATTCACTCAACATTTGCATAAAAATGTTGTGGTTAGGTTTGCAACACTCTGGATTTTCTATTAAAACACTGCACACTTTCCACACATTTATAATAGCCTACATAATTCACTTCTTAATGTAAGCAGGAAAAATCTGTGAAATGAAAATGTACAAATTGTACTGCAAAGACACAGCTTTTGTTTGGGTTATGAAAGCCTGTGTTTAATTTTTTTTAAAGGTAAACAATTAGCTGTGTATTAAACGGGTCATATGATGCGATTTCATTTTTTCCTTTCTGTTTGGAGTGTTACAAGCTCTTGGTGCATAAAGAAGATCTGTAAATTTGCAAAGACTAAAGTCTCAAATCCAAAGAGATATTCTTTATAAAAGTTAAGAGTCAGCCACGCCTACCTAAAACGGCTCGTTCGAACACGCCCCCACATATCTACCTCACTACAGTATAAGTTATTATAATCCATAATTATGTCCCCACTGATGCAACGAATGCCTCGTTTATAATGGGTTTTCATGTTTTTGTCTCGTCGCTCCGGCCGGACACGGTATGTGAGGGGCGTAACATTTCCGTCTCAGGCTTGAGGTATTCGGCCAATCACAACGCACTGGATAGCTGGCCGATCACAGCACACCTCGCTTTTTCAGACCGATGAGTTTTGTAAAAATCGACGCGTTTCAAAAAGGCGGGGCATAGAGGAGAAACAATAATGTACAGTATGTGGAAAATAATGTGTTTTTTTAACTTTAAACCGCATAAACACATTTCATTACACCGAATACACAAAATAATGTTCTTTTTAGCAGCATCATATGACCCCTTTAATAATACACTTTGAAATGTCTTGGTCTTAGAGCTCTGAATGCATTGTATGGGTGTTATTCATGCATTATAGAGACATCATCATGCCTTGTAAAACTGTATATCCTTTGATTTAATTACACGATCTACAGTTATAAATGAAATAGACATCCTTTATATTAGGTAACATAACATATGTGTTGTGTATTTTAATGTATTCATGTATTTTAAAGCCTTTCCTGTAGTATTTAATGCATTATTTTACTCTTAAGAAGGAATAAGTAAATATTATTAAGCATTCTAACTGTGATAGCCACTATTAATTACAAGAAGCTCATAATGAGTATTATAAGGCCTACAGAGGCTTGTGTGTAGTGTCTTGTGTGATGCTGACTAGTGTTTTCTCCTCCCTTCCCCCTCTTTAGAATGGCCATGAATGAGCCCTCCCCCCACAGCAAGAAACTCTGCAGACTTTTGCTCCATGTTAGGAAGAAACCAACACCCCTTCAGCACAAAATGGAAGCTTCCACTATCAAACTGAGGTACACCAAAAAGCCTCACAACAAACATTTAACACAAACACACACAGCCGCAACATTTGACATGTCAAACACGTTGAAATGCAGGCGTGCGCCGCTGTCCGAGGTGCTGAACGCTGCGTTACGAACAGAACGTCCATCGAACGAACTCAAAATTCTGTCGTTCTGAGGCATTCATTCCAATTCTAAAAGATTAAGAGGTTCTCTAACAGACGCATCAAAAGAAGGCCAAAGAGACGAATTACCTATAAACCTTTAAATAATTGCTACAGGAACGCTATAGATGACCTTCCTTTAAGTCACGATTATAAAAAAGTGAAAGTGAACTGCAGGGATCGAATCAAATTCGACCACGTGGTCATGTGACCAAGAAAAATAACCCCTCGGTAAAGACTGTCGATAAAGTATCGAATAAGTACACTGAGGTTAAGTGCACGCTAAACAGCGATGTTTTAATGCAACATGTCCGAGGAAGTAAGCAACTTCCTTCACAAACTCCCAAGAAACATGTCGACCAACTAAAATGGACGTGTTAAACAATTTACTACCGTACCAATAAAATGTTCGTGTGTAAATAAAGCAGATTGAACTGATTTTCTAGTCGTTTTAATCCACTTGGTGGGGGCAAATATGTTTCTAAGAAATTCTAACACGTTTAATGCACGCATGACGCGAAATTTCATCGCTAATTACATCGAAATGCTGGAAACATGCTTAAATTCTTACTTGTTTTTCACTTAGAGATGTTATTCTGCTTTGCCTTTAATCTATTTGTTTCTTAAACTCAAAGTCATAAAATTATACACATAGGATCAATACGATTCCGGCCCAAAAAAAACAAGCCAGATATTTTCAAAACTTGACAAAACCGTTTGTGTTATTTGGCAAAGTCACGTAAAGGACAAAGCGTAGCGAACGACCGTAAGAACTATTGATGCCGACAAAGTTTCTCACCCAATGTAAAAATGCCCCATTCTTCAACGCTTCAAATACAATTACCTGTGGGTCCTGCTTCATCTGTGCAACTAGTTTCTAAACGAAATAAAACAACGAAAAGACGTTTCGTTGAAAGTGTTTCAAGTTAGGATATGAGGGAGGAACAAAGCGACGAGCAGCGAGTCCGTTTGAACCTCATAAATATTCAAGTCTCGTCCCGATCGCTACACAAAACCGCCGCATTATTAGTGCAAATCGCAAAAAAACACGCCGCACGCGTTAAAGTGCATCAAAGAGCGTTTTAACAATCTGCTCTCAGAGTGATTATGGCGTCAAAAAAAGGCGAAAGAATGTTACCGTTGTATCACTCAAAAAGGATACGAATTCCAACCAAATTAAAACGCTCGCACACGGCGGATTTCTGTCTTCCAGCGTGTATTCACATAAGAAGTCCCGAGAAAGCTTCAACAAAATGCCATTTTTATTTACCTGATGACATTGGACTTCTACTTTCAATGCTTCTTGAAGGCCTTGTAGCTCCATATTCCGACTTCAGAAGCACTTTTCCCCCACTTTCGACGCGATCCGCGTTATTTGTGGCGTAATACAAATATTTTTTTAAAGCAACAATAACAATCGCAAGAACTACTCGGGCTGCACAGCAAGTTCTCGCTTCTTTACTGGCCGTAAGACTCATCACCCACTTTACGCCAGTATAAACAAAAGTGCTCAAAAGGCGGACTAAAGATTTCAGCAGTCACAAAGATCCACTCCGACATCCACACGACAAAAGCCTATCCGACCTATCCGATACGCACGGCTTTATTTTTAAGACTTTGAGTTGAAAATGTGGAACTATATTTTGTCCGAGTGCGCGGCTTGATTTCACTTTGCCTGGGGAAAAAGTTGCGCTTTGGTTGTCAATGCTAATTCGGAAAGTTCCCGGATGGAGCAGTGAAAAGAAGAACTCTCCCTTCCTCTGTCACGTGAACGCGCTCCCTCAGTTATGGAGTCATGCGCGCTCCCACACATCTATACAAAACAGCAGAACTAGTTTCAAATGTTCACAAAAATGTGTTGATTAAGATACAATGATGGGCTGTAAATCAAGTGTGTTGTTTTACTTTATGAAGAGAAGAAGGCATTGAATTATTTGGAAACCTCTTTATTTTGTTTGCTAAATACTATATGCATAAAAAGAAGAACAGTTTTACAGTTGAAAAATCTGACATTTTGGCAAGGTACTGACTGCCATGAAATGTTTATGAACATCTTTGTATATATTATTCTAGCAATAAATGATGTGTAAATCAAATAGCCTACTGTGGCTGTTCTTAAATTAAATATCTTTTTTGATTATTTTGAGAGACCAAAGTGTGTGTTTTGATTAAGTGTGAGCTGTATGAATGATGTTAAGGTTTGGGACTGTGTAATATCCCCCTTAGCCCCTCACAGACCTCACCCCACATAGCTTAAATTAACACAAATCCCTCCAGCTATTAAAATGCAAATATGAGCCTCTGAACTGCCTTTATTGGTAGTCTGTAATAGTGCTTCTATGGATCTGTATTGTTTGTAGATTTCCTCATGTATCTCCTTATCATAAAATATTTTGTTGCTAACATCATTTAACATGGCATCTGGTGTCTATCGCTAAAAATAAAGTGTATTGTGTTTACTTCCATGAATAGCTTGGTTCAGTTGCTTGTATAAAATAAATTCTAAGCTAAACTCTGACTGTGTGTTAATATTAGAATTCCCCCTTTACAGCAAAAGTTCTAAAATGAGCATCCATACTAATGTGTTTTGCATTTCATGGTACTCTCCCCTCCAGCTGATCATTTTTATCCCAGTTGAAGGGTTTACTCCACCCTGCCCCTGTACCAACCCCCATCCACCCTCCCAGGCATCCGCCACCGCCCCCTCTAAACACAAGTCACACCGTCATTGGAGCGTTACGCTGTGCTCACGCGCTGCTCTGCCCTGCTGTCCTATCAGGAGTTGCGGCTGTAGCATATGCATCCAGACAGACACAAGCCGAATGAATGAAAGCCAATCAGCTTTCAGGACAGGATGAATGTGATGTGGAAGTTAATGTGATGCAGAAAGGGCAGTCCAGTGCATTTACTTATAACTGACTGCAAATCGTTTTCTTCTTGACGCATGTGCTTATGAAGGAAGTCAAAAAGCATTGTGAAGAGAGTTTATTTTTAGATGTTTGAGAAGTTTTCCACTTTCACTAGTTCATTTCAAATGGTCCTGTGGTCTCTGTTTTAATACATAAAAGATGCATGCATATCTAAAAGCTTTAATTTGAGGGTACTCCCATCAAAATTGGAGGAAAGGTGAAAGGTTAAGGAATTACAGCTCTTTAATATGTACCTCCCCATTTTTTCAAGGGACCATAAGTGTGCCATTCTAAGTGTGCCTGTGCCATTTGCATTTGGAAGCTGTTGTTGTGAACCCACATCATGCGGTCAAAGGTTCTCTCCATACAAGTGAAACAGAAAATTGTTAGGCTTCAAAAACAAAACAAATCCATCCGAGAGATAGCAAGAACATTCAGAGTGGAAAAAAAATCAAGAATTTGGTACATTCTGAGAAAAAAAGAACGCACTAGTGAGCTCAGCAACATATAACATCCAAGAGGTAGGCGTGTCACTTTCAAAATATACAATCAAGAGAAGACTTCACAAGGGCAAATACAGAGGGTTCATCACAAGGTGCAAACAAGGCCAGATTAGACTTTGCCAAAAAACATCTAAAAAAGCCAGACCACTTCTGGAAAAGCATTCTTTGGACGGCTAATATTAAGAACAACCATACCAGAATGACGGGAAGAAAAAGTATGGAGAAGGCTTGGAACAGCTCATGATCCAAAGCATACAACATCATCTGTGAAACATGTGGAGCAGTGTGATGGCATGAGCATGCATAGCTTCTAGTGGCACTGGATTACTGGTGTGATGACGTGACAGAAGACAGAAGCTGAAGTGTAGGGATGTAATGTTGTCTGCCCAGATTCAGTCAAATGGAGAAAAGTTGATTGGGCGGTGCTTCATAGCACAAATGGACTATGACCCAAAACATACAGCAAAAGCAACCCAGGAGTTTTTGAAGGTAAAAAAAGTAGAATATTCTGCAATGGCCAAGTCAATCTCCTGATTTCAACCCGATTGAGCATTTCACTTGCTGAAGACAAAACTAAAGGCAGAAAGTCCCACAAACAAACAACAACTGAAGTCAGCTGCAGCAAAGGCCTGGCAAAGCAGCACAAAGGAGGAAACCCAGTCTTTGGTGATGTCCATGAGTCCCAGACTTAAGGCAGTCATTGCCTGCAAAGGATTCTCAACGAAATATTAGAAATGAACATTTTATTTATGATTATATTTATTTTTCCAATTACATTTAAGCCCCTAAAAATGGGGGGACGGTGTATAAAAATGGTTGTAATTCCTAAGCATTTTATATTTTTGTTCAACCCCTTAAATTAAAGCTTAAAGTCTGCACTTCAGTTTCATCTTGATTGTTTTATTTTGAATTCTGTTCTGGTGGCATACAGAGCCGAAATTCTAAAAATTGTGTCAGTGTCCAAATATACATGGACCTGACTGTCTGTATGTGTATATATATATATATATATATATATATAGCTGCAATTAAATAAGTTTGACTTTTACTATATTTTATTTTATTTCAGTAAACTTTTTTTTTTATTTCCATTTTTTATTTCTATTTTTATGATTTTAGTTTTAACTATGACCCTGGGTTGCATGATAGCATATATTAAAGCTTTTTAAAACTTGCGTTCTTACAGTATGTGGTCGATAAAACACCAATAAAATCATGCTAAATTTCAGTCGATCACACTGATTATTACACAAACTCTGTATTTTGAAATTTCAAGTACTTGTAAATCCTGTATAGGACGTCATTTGTCTAAATTACGTATTACTGTCCTTGGTTTAACAGATTGTTCATTAGATTGATACAGCATCTGGCTCAGACAGTATCAACTCTGCTTATACATCCACAATCTAATCCTCTTTACATTAAACAAACCTCTGGAGCTCACAGATCTGTTACTATGACAACAACTCTAAGATGAACAGAAGAATCCGGGATCGGGTCTAACCCTAAAACACAAAAAAGAAGGCGCCAAACACTAACCATAAGAACTGGTAATGCTTATATATTCAGAAATGAAGCATTAGGTTAATGAAATGTCTGGTTAGATATTTTACAGTTTTTCCCTGTATATAGTACGGGAACTTACTGTTAACCTATTAACAGTTTTTTTCCATAGCATTTTTACAAAATGTTACAGTTAAAATTACACTTATTTTTTACAGTGATATGAAGAAAATTGAGTACATGGTCTATAAATCACATAATGCGATTAATTAAGTTTCCTTTACATTTTGTGTAACATGTGACTGGTCATGACATGAACGGCATCAGATATTTTTGCCAGCACACTATCTTGTCCTGAGACACCCTCTGACTTTACTAACGGAATTTCCTGGAATAGATGTGAGTGTGTCACTTGAGCTCAGCTCTTACTGTAAGCATCACGGCAGAGAGCAGAGATCTGATCACACCGTAACCTTCATCTACAGATGCCAGCACTATGAGTATCACATAATCAACTCATGTGCCAGTCAGTGGGTGGAATTAACATGACAAACAAACATGAAATTACTAAAACACATCAATATTAGGGGCATTATGCATTTCTAAGTACTGTACTTCCACCACTTCTACAGAGCAGCAGTGTTCATGTGGGCTCTACAGATTCGAGTCTGAAGCTGACGCTTTTAAAATGTCTGACTTTTCAATATAGAGCTATGTTAGGTTCTCCTAAAACTACTCTGAGGTGGTTTGTGTTGCTAAACCAATTTATATGAACACACGCTTCATCAGCTGTAAATCTACTACACTGTAAAAAAAAAATCTGTGACATTTACGGTAAAATACCGGCAGCTGTGGTTGCCAGAACTTCACCGTAAAAAATATGGAAGCAACATTTTAGGCCATCATGGTGACACACATGATACTGAAATAATGCAATAAACATTAATTTAACAACATTAGATGTAAGATTAAACCCTAATGTACACAACTGATAAGAAAAAACTAAGAAGAAACATGTTATTTCAACAAAAAAAACATAAACTATGAAGTGTCATGCAGGGAACTAGTGTCAATTACGTTTTTTTCACTGTAAATTATACAATGACTTTTTCTTTTTCACTTCCAAAAACCGTATTTTTAAACAGTATTTTACTGTAAAATTACGTTAAATGTAATTACATTTATTCACCAAATATATTATGGAAACTTACTGTTAACTAATTAACAGGTTTTTACTATAGCATTTTTACAGTCTTTTACAGTTAAAATCACAATAATTTTTTACAGTGTAATTGTGACATGACAGGCAGATTTATTTGAAAGTATTCATCACAGTTTTTAACATTTATGGTTCATCTTTCCTTGGAGAGGCAGAAAAGCTTGAAACATCAGAAGCATCAGAAAAGATATGAATAAAACATGTCATGGCATAACACATCTTTAAGAAAACAATACGTGAAAAACATTGTCTAGACACTGAATAATTTGTTTTATTCAATATAACCACAGAGGGCTAAATGTTGCATATATATAGCATGCATTACAATTTATCACAGTAATGCATTTAATCTATAATTTTGCATCATGTTCTTCTTGCTTATTATTTGAAAAAGAAGTGTTTGACCTATAATCTATAATGGTTGTAAATATACAATGTTGTAGATTGAGTTCCGTTTAGCTTTAATATCC